CTCCACCGCCTGCAGCAGGAAGCGCTCGGGCCCGGCCCGCAGCAGCACCGCCCGCAGCTGAGCCTCCGACAGCTCCACGTGGCCGCGCAGGTCCCGCAGGAGCATGCGGCCGCCGTGCGCGCACAGCACCTTGCTGAGGAACGAGCACACCGTGGGGTCCGCCATGGCCCCGGCCCCGAGACTCCTCCCCGGCACGGCCGCCCTCCAGCCGGCCGGGGCGGGGCCTCGGCCCCCCACCCCCCCCCACCCGAAGGGCTTCTGAGGCGGGACCAGTGAGCTGGGGAGCTGGGGAGGGGTCAGGGGTGGGGGTCGTGTCTGACGTCACGGTGGCCGCTGATCACGCTGGAAAAGTGATCCTGCGACACTGAGCTGTGTGTGTGTCTGTGTGTGTGTCTGTGTGTGTGTGTCTGTGTGTGTGTGTCCTAGGCTTGAAGTCAAGGCCTAGGCCATTGTCCTTGACTTCTACCACTTGAGTCTCAGCTCCACTTCCAGCTTTTTGGTGGTTGATTGGAGTTTCCTGACCGGGCTGTCTTCGAACCGTGATCCTCAGATTTCAGCCCCTTGAGTAGCTAGGGTTATAGAGGTGAGCCACCGGCACCCAGCAACAAGACCTTTGTAATCTAACTCATTACTGTATATCATCACCTGTGTCCAGACATTTCGTGGGACAATGTGTGTGTGTGTGAGAGAGAGAGAGACAGAGACAAAGAGACAGAGAGAGACAGGGAGAGAGACATGTTTTGCTAGTCAAACACTGTACACTCACCTACATCCTAACCCATAACAGCTATTTTAGAATAGCTGGCAGTAATGAGAGGAATGGCTATCTAGAAAGCAAGACGAGACAAGTAGTGGGGAAAAAAGCAGGCTTGAGGAGCTATAAGCCTCTATTTCATTGTACTTGTAGTGGACAATCTAATAGAGGGCTCACATGCCTTTCATATAAGGGCTAGGCCTTAGTGGAGATACAAAGCTACTCAGGATACAAAGGCAGAAGGACCTCAAGCTTGAGACCAGCTTGGATCTTAGTATGACCCTGTCACTGGTGGCAAATGGGGGTTTGTGAAGATTCCTTTAAAAAAGAAGAGAGGGAGAGGGAGGGGGCCCAGCACCCCGCAGAGGACACCGGTGGCTCATGCCTGTAATCCTAGCTACTCAGGAGGCTGAGATCTGAGGATCCCAGATGGAAGCCAGCCCAGGTGGGAAAGTCCCCTTGAAACTCATCTCCAATTAACTACTCAAAAACAAACACATAAACAAAAACAAACAAACAGTGGAGCTGTGGCTCAGAGTGGTAGAGTGTTATCCTTGAGCAAGAGATCAGAGACAGCAACCAGGCCCTGAGTTCAAACCCCACAAATGACTCCCCCCTCCCTCCTGCCCCCCTCCATTCAGGGCCTTTATCCTGGGACAAGTCTCAATGGTAAGAAAACTTGGCAGAACTTTTTGAGCAAGCAGAAAGAGGCACCCTCTAACAGGTAGAGCAGGGGGTGCTCACAGGAGACACCCCCAGCTGTTTTGACATCAGAGGAATTTATGGCTAAAAGAAAGAATTGGCATTTGGCTCCCATCTACTCCAGGAGCACAAGTTCCCTTTTGTTCTAGTTCCCTTTTGTTCTAATACCGGGTAACATTTTCTCATGCTTGATGTTACAGTATTTATCATTTGGGTCAAGAGACTTCAAGGTTAGCCTGCTGCACTTGGTCTCTGTTGTACTTGAGTTGAAAAAAAAAACAAAACAAAAAAAAAAACAACTTGAGTCACTGATGTCTGGACTTCTTTCAGATAAAGGGTAGGTTCTTCATACACTCCTTTCAAGACAGGTGTCTATCCTGAAGAGAAATATTTTTCTTAGCAAATACTTTGTTGTGCCCAAAGGAGTCATTTTCGCAGAATAAGAGACTAAGACTCAGCCTTGGAGCATGCTAATCAGCTGGACATGTAGGCCAGGGCAGAGGGAGACAGATGTTCTGGTTCCTTTTCTCTTCTTCTTTTTTCTTTTAACTGAAGGTTGCTGTTTATGAGGGAACACAAGGCATATCGCAAAAGTAGTGTTTCTGTTTTTGTTTTTTAATCAAGCTCTTGACCAACAGTGTTTGTCTCTAAATTTCTCATGGCTGATTCCAAGGCCTTATTTTCTCTATCTTTCCTCAACCCTATCTCAAAAAGAAAAAAAAAAAACACCAAACAGGCTCAGTCATAGCATGCCCTGGATTCATTCCCTCAGGTGAAGGAATGGATATACTTTTGAGGGACACTTAAGTGTTAGGCAACAGAAGCTGTGAAAGCTAAGTGTGAAGAACACTATTAAGGGGCTGGGAAGGTGGCTTAGTGGTAGAGTGTTTGCCTAGCATGCATGAGCCCTGGGTTCGATTCCTCAGTACATCAACAGAAAAAGCCAGAAGTAGTGCTGTGGCTCAAATGGTAGAGTACTAGCCTTTAGCAAAAGAAGCTCAGAATAGTGCTCAGGCCCCGAGTTCATGCTCCAGGACTGGAAAAAACAACAACAACGCTATGAAAGAAGCAGATGACCAGGTGGTACCTGTGGCTCACACCAGTCATCCTACTACTCAGGAGGTTGATGTCTGACAATCAATGTTTCCTTGAGAATCTTATCTCTAACTAGCAAAACCGCAAATGGAGCTTGGCTCAATGATACAGTGACAGCCTGGAAGAAAAATCAAAGGGACAGTGCCCAGTAACAACACACACACACACATTTTTGGGGGGCCAATATTCACTTCAAATTTGTGTGCCTCAGTCTTACCCTGCAGGCACCCCTGGGGCCCGAAGGTATGCTACTGGCTCCCAACCTTTCTCTTCCTAAGTCCATAACCAGAGATGTGCCCACCCCCTGTGGGTCTCTCCAGGCACCACCAGCGCGGCCTTGCCCTGGCAGTGTGCCAGGAATGAGGAAGCCAGAAGAGGAAAATCACATCTCCTTTTGAATAAACCAGTCTCTGTTGTTAGAGATACCTACAAGCAGAGCAAATAAAGGCAGCAAAACCGAATCCATTATTTTCTTTTTATTATGTAATTTCTCAAATTAAGCAAACAGAAGCAGCAATGAAACTCAACTGAAACATAAAAAATTGAGCATATTCAACAGAATTCAACATTATCAGTGAATCAAGCAGAACCAACTGACTAGTACAAAAAGAAGATCATTTTATGCTGGACAGATGCTCAACATAGACAAATGAAGGCACAAGAGTTTGTTTTTCTTTTTTCTTTTTTTGTTGGTCCTGAGGCTTGAACTCTGGGCCTGGGCACTGTCCTCCAGCTCCTTTTGCTAATGCTCTACCACTTGAACCACAGCGCCACTTCTGGCCTTTTCTGTGATTTAATTGGGAATAAGAGTCGCACAGACTTTCCTGCCCAGGCTGGATTTGAACCTTGATCCTGAGATCTCAGCCTCCTGAGTGGTTGGGATTACATAAGCATAAGTCACTGGCACCTGGCTCACCAGTGTTTTGTTATTGTTTTGTCGGTCATGGGGCTTGAACTCCAGGCCTGGGTGCTAAGCTCTTCAGCTCAATGCAAGCATGCTAATCACTTATGCCAGAGCACCACTTTGGATTTTCTGGTGGTTAATTGGAGATAAGTCTCCTGCTTGGGCTGGCTTTAAACAGTGATCCTCAGATCTCAGCCTCCTGAGTAGCTAGGATTAGAGGCATGAGCCACCAGTGCCTGGCACAAAAGTATTTTCAAAACCAGAGGTTTGGAAGATTGGCAAGGATCTAATCAAATGGACAGTTGAGCTAAATTAAGGGTGCTGGATGTGAACTGGGTCAGTTGGTTCTGTTATACAGGAATTTGATTGCGCAATACAGAGAAGCCACACTCTGAGAGGTTGAATCTGATCTCTTTATTATAAAGCCGGCAACTGTGAGCAGACTCATGCCTCAAAAGCACATGAATGCAGTTCATTCAAAAAACCACAGAATCGATATGAGGAACTTAACCTAGCAAAAGTATTCACAGAAGCAAAACAAACTAGGAAGAGCAAGACTTTCCTGGAGCTGCATAACCCATAACACAGCTGCTATTTAAAGAATGACCCATATCACCGCCAGAGAGTGTTCAGAACTGGGTGAAAAGTTTCCATCATCGATTAAGATGCCAAGATGGCGGTGAAGACAAGATGGCATTACTTAGACCCAGTATCCATATTTCAGTGGTCACTGTAGTATACCAGAAAGGAGATGGCTTGTTGGTTTCATGGTAGCTGAGGGCAGCGTGGGCACTGAATAGATGCTGCCAGATGCACAACAGATGTTCCACAGGAGGAAGAATTGTTCTGCTTCTGCACGACTGTCTAATGTCCTGCTGGACATTTACGTAGGACCTAGTGCTTGTCTGAGAGATTACAAAGCATTTTTCTCTGAGACAATCGGAAATGTGTCCTGTGCTACATTATGTTACCCTTGCTTCAGGAACAGGAACTTCAGATTTTCCTTTACCATAGACAGATTATATGGTGTGTTACGATTTTCACTAATTACTGGTTTTCATTCTAGTGTTACCTGCATCTCTAATCTTTCATTTTCCTGGATGCCTTAAGCCAAACACCCATTCAGAGCAAGAGTAAATGTCTGTCTCATGGCGTAAAACGTAGTCATACCTGAGCATTTAATATATTTCATTACAAATTTCTGTGTGTGTGTGTGTGTGTGTGTGTGTGTGTGTGTGTATCGGAACTCAGGGCCTCACACTCTCATTTGGCTTTTTCACTCAAAGCTGGCGCTTTCCCGCTTAAGCCACAACTCCACTCCTGGCTTTTTGCTGGTTAACCGGAGATAAGAGTATCTTTAATTTGTGTGTCTGAGCTGCCTTCAAACTGGAATCCTCAGAGAAGTTACCTCGAGAAGCTAGGAATGCACTCAGCTTTATTATAAATTTCTTAACTTCAATGTTTCCATTATAATAGAACATTCAATTGATTTGGGGGGGGAGGGGACGGTTGTGGGGCCTGAATTCTGGGTGTAGGCACTGTCCCTCAGCTCTTCAGCTCAAGGCCAGCACTCTACCACTCGAGCCACAGCGCCACTTCTGGCTTTTTCTGCTTATGTGGTGCTGAGGAATTGAACCCAGGGCCTCATGCATCCAAGGCAAGCGCTCTACCACTGAGCCACCTTCCTAGCCCCTCGATTGACTTTTTTAAAAAAGATATTCATGTGATACCTAGGAATCATCTCAGCATAGCAAAAGAGATATTGCAAAACAGCTATTTTGCAAAGAGTAAGCAGGTCTTGGGGTTCATGGTGGTCTTGTTAGAGAAAGGTTTCAAGGTACCAGGTGCAATTGGCACTTAGCACGTGAGAATCAAGTATGCCGAAGATCAAGCAATACACTGGTCAGTTCTCACAGTCAGCAATCATTTTGCACCCTATACGAATTTTGAATGTCTCTCTAGACATTCATTAAGACTCACAGCTTGTCTGTGACAATAGTAGATTCATTTTCTGTCGACAATCTGTAAATTCTCTTATACAGAATATTTCAAAGGTTATTTCGTTCCTATCACATATACACAGTGCTTTCATTTACAAGCAAGTTACCTCATGACTTTCTATCCTAAATGTCCATTCTTGTTGCTGGGTTTTCATGTTCTCTGTGCACTATAACTTTTGAGCTCCTACCTCTGAGTTCGTATTTATTCACTATAAGTAGGCATGGGCATCGACGTTTTATATCTTCTAGTACTGTGAAGTGGTACCCAAGCTAATGTGCCTTTTATTTCCCTTTTGTGTTTTTGTTAGTTTTATTGAATTTTTAATTTATTTCTAGAATGGCATGTGGTTAGTATATTTATCTCTGAATTGCATGCGAAAATCACAAAGCAGACATTGTGAAGGATTTATCATTTAAAGGGAAGAAAAGGTAGAAAGGAGATATTGAGAACCACTGAACTAGGCATAAAGGACCTGTGTAGCTGGGGTGAGGAGGATAAATAAAAGGAGATCACCTCAACCAAGAAATTCTGACACTTTAGATACTGATGTAAAATCTGACCAACAGAAATATCAACTCAAGTGGAACTAGAACGGGCAATTTTGGCAATTGGCACAGCTTGTTGAAGAAGAAAAACACTTGAGTCGTAATACAAAAGCTATCCATGTGCTCCTAAGACTAATGCTATTTAATTTGCCCGAAGTACAAAAAGAAGACCCTAGCAGGGACAAGACATGCTTCACACATCATTTCCGGTTCTGCTTCTGTATATACCAGAAAACAAACCTGGTTTCCTGAATCAGGGTCCAAGGCCGGCCCTTCTCATTTCTTAGTGAGCTTTGTTAAAATCGCCAAAACAAGCCACAATGGCAACATGTGGGTTTATCAACCAGGCTTGTATGAATCTCATTACTGCAACTTAGTCCTCCTAAACACAGACATTTCCATGATATCTTGACCTGAGAAAACATTCTCTGTATTCACACTACAGATGGCTACTTTGCCATAATTCCATCAAGAGCCCAAACGGGCAGTTCGTTCCAGTTGTTTCTTTCTTACAACTGCATCTGCGTCAAGCCCTTAGAGTCTCTGTGTTGTAACGAAATGTAAAGACACAGAAACGTGTGCTTCATATCAGCTCATTACATAAGACACAGTACTCTATTTAGGTCTGCAGTAATACTTAAATTTAACTCTTATTTTGTTGTTGTTATTTTTGGTCTCGGCAAATCTTCTACCCAAGATGCAATGTCTTAAGTCCTGATTTTAATGGGTATAATTCCATCTCATCCACGGAGATAATTTTCTTTCAATTAAATCCAAACAAAACCACCTTATGCTATCCAGTAAATTAAAAGAGTAGATGAGAAAGGTTGATGTAATTGACAGAGAAGTTAGCAATCAAGCTTTGACCAGTTACATCTAAGACAACGCAAATTCTCCAACAAAACATTGGAATTATGGGGAATTCTTTAAAAACTAGCTCTGAAGCTGGGTGCTGGTGGCTCACGCCTGTAATCCTAGCTACTCAGAAGTCTGAGATCTGAGGATCAAGGTTGAAAGCCAGCGTGGGCAGGAAAGCCCATGAGACTCTTATCTCCAATAAAGCACTAGAAAACTAAGTAGCGCTGTGGCTCAAGCCATAGAGCGCTCGCCTTGAGCTGAAGAGCACAAGGACAGCGCCCAAGCCCAGAGTTCAAGCCCTATGACCGACAAAAACAAACAAACAAGAAAAAACAAAACAGCTTAGCTCTGCATGATGATCACCCTCAGAAGGAATGACTTAATTGGGAGAGTGGTCCAAGATAGGCATTGGAAATTTTGTACAGCAAAGCTTGGAAGCTACTAATTTTAAGGCATTAGGTCACCTGGCAAGGAAATATCAAAATCTACCCTATTTATCTGGGGCACTTTGGTCCTGTAAGAAAATTAAATGGGTAGGTATCATTAATATTTGCCATTCCTTAACTTATCACACAGGCTTTATCTGATTCCACATACTCAATCACGTATGCTGGGTAAATCTGACTTTTCTGGAAGATGACATAGACAGAAGGATTCAACCGTGTATCCACACAGCTGTCATACATGGAAGGGGGGCTCGTGTACGCCATATTTCCTTCGATGAACTCTCCAGCCAGGACTCGGGCTACAAACATGACGGTATTTTTGGTATCACATGCGTAACTTTTGTGGGAATAGATGGCTTCTTTTGTAAAGTAATTGCCTAGACATAAACAGAAAGATTGAGAATATTATTACAGAGAATCAGATGATAAGGGACTGTGTCCCAATATCTTAGCAATATTTAGAAAACCATCCTTTGCATTAAAAAAAAAAGTTTATGGCCAAGTACTGGTGGCTCATGCCTGTAATCCTAGCTACTTAGGAGGCTGAGATCTGAGAATTATAGTTCAAAGCCACTTTCCATTTATTATGATGTTTGTCATTCTCTCTTTTTTTTCTTCAGTTAGATGTTTTTGTTTTTGCTGGTCGTGGGGCCTGAACTCTGGGCCTGGGCACTGTCCCTCAGCTCTTCAGTTCAAGGCAAGCACTTTACCACTTGAGCCACAGTACCATTTCTGGCTTTTTCTGCTTATGTGGTGCTCAGGAATTGAACTCAGGGCCTCATGCATGCAAGGCAAGCACTCTACCACCAAGCCACCTTCCCAGCCCTTCAGTTAGATGTTTGAACTCCAGTTACACTGCTTATCCCAGGTAGACCAAATACTGGAAGATCTGGGTAAATAATGTTCTACTAATTTAAAGTTAAATATGAAACTTTGCTTGCTGTGTTCTGGGTATTGAAGCCCCATGTATTAAAGGTTTAGTTCTCTGGATGGTGCACTGGAAGATGGCCAGCCCTTGGGAGATGGGGCAGAGTTAGGGTCCTAGCTCATTGGGGGTGAGCCTTCCAAGGGGATTATAAAATCGTGCAGTACCATGGTTTTATAAGCCAAACAAACCTGTTTATAAGTTAGTTGTTGCAGATATTTCATTGTAGTAACACAAAGCTGAATAATATACTACCAGTACATCAATATGACCTAAGTAGGTCAGTATGGGAAGTCATATCTAGTCTCACCACTCCTCCAACAATTAATAGCTTCTTGGGAATTTCTTTCACAATTGTCTCTATGTACTTGCATACATATATATGCACATCCAATCTAATATTATTTTAGCCCAGTTTATTTATTCACAAATAAGATTATACTATAGAGCTAGGTATGGTAGTGCACACCTATAATCTTGCCACTTAGGAGGCTGAGACAAAAGGATTGATAAGTCTGAGGTCAGTCTGAGCTACTTAATGAGGCATCCTGCTGAGCAGAAGAGCATTTGCTTATTATGTATGAAGCCATGGATTCAAATCTCAGTACCAAGCAAAGAAGCAACCCATTTAACTTTTGTTTTACTAATAACAGATGTCACTGTGAATGTGCCATTGATAACACAGAGATGCCCTCTTGAGTTGTAAGGTGAATATCCCTACATTCCTCTATTCCTCAATACTAATGGCCCTAGCATAAGATTAAAAAAAAAAAAAAAGTTGAGCCAGGCACTAGGTGGCTTGCCTGTAATCCTAGCTACTCAGGAGGCTGAGATCTGAGGATCAAGGTTGAAAGCCAGCCAGGGCAGGAAAGCCCATGAGACTCTTATCTCCAATTAAGCACCTAAAGTGGTGTAGTGGCTCAAAATGGTAGAGCGCTAGCCTTGAGCAGAACTCAGGAATGATGCCAGGCCCTGAGTTCCAGCCCCACAAGTGACAAAAAAAAAAGAAAGAAAGAAAGAAAAAAAGGTGTCCGTTTTGTAGATTCCCCCCCCCCCAATCTGTTATCCTCTAGCATAGCATCTAGGCTCCATTTCAAATCTGCTGGGCTCAGAAATAACAAACTTCTCAAAGATAATATTGAAAAAACAATGTGCCTTTACTATGGTGATGCATGCCTATAATTCCAGCATTAAGGAAGCAGAGACAAGAAGATCACAAATTAAAGGCAAGCCTGCTATCCATAGTGAGCTTCTAACTTATAAGTAAATAAGGTAGCACTACTTTTTTTTTTTAAATTGGGGAAGGAAAGAGAGCTCCGTATATATAAGCACATATATAATTATTTATAACTATTCATTTTTTAGCCAGACATATTTGGAGGGAGGCTAGTACTTGGGCTTAAACTCAGGGCCTCCCATCCAGCCTTAGTCAGACATATTTTGCCTCAAGGAGAATTGTAATTATTGGAAGGAATATCAAAAGAAAGAATCATGATCCAATTCATAAAAATCAAAATAGGATTTGGCAATTAATTGCAAAAATGCTGCTGTAACCTGAGGAAGGAACCCTTCCCAGGCTGAGAGTTCACATGGCCGCCACTGCCTCTAACACAGTCCTCCCAGAACTCCACGGGCAAGGCACGGCAAATGGCTACTGGACAGAGGACAGGGAAGAGACAGCACACTGGAAGCCAGGCCCAATTCCTGTAAAGTTAGCATTCGGCTCTTTGTTGGATTCTTTTGGGTTTTCTCCAGAGACATTTCTTTTTTTTTTTTTTTTTTTTTGGGTCCAGTCGTGGGGCCTGAAGTCTGGGCCTGGGCGCTGTCCCTCAGCTCTTCAGCTCAAGGCTAGCACTCTACCACTTGAGCCACAGCGTCACTTCCGGCTTTTTTCCTTTTGCTTATATGGTGCTGAGGAATTGAACCCAGGGCCTCATGCATGCAAGGCAAGCACTCTACCACTGAGCCAACTTCCCAGCCCCTCCAGAGACATTTCTATTACCTCTAGAAGCAGTCTTTTTTTTTTTTTTTTGCCCATCATGGGGCTTAAACGCTGTGCCTCTGAGCACTGTCCCTCAGCTCTTCAACTCAAGGCGAGCGCTCTACCACTTGATTCACAGGCCACTTCCAGTTTTCTGGTGTTTATTGGAGATAAGAGTCTCACAGACTTTCTTGCCTTAGCTGGCTTTGAACTGCAATTCTCAACTCTCAGCCTCCTAACTAGGATTACAGGTGTGAGCCACCAGTGCCTAGCTTTACACATCCCTTTTAACAGAAGCATGTATAGACCTAGAGCATGATTCAGCTAGTTAGCTTTCTCTATTCTAGTACAAACCTTTTCCATATTTGGTTTCATGAGCTCCATGTAAGACGTAGTCGAAATTATTTGCACAGATGGAATCTACATGGGCACGGCTTGTTGCATAGAAGAGAAGTTTCTCGTCTCTCTTATTCATCGTCCATTTCTTACTATGATAAGGAAGTATAAGAATTACCATCAAGGACATTCTCTTTGCTCTAGTTAATAAACATCAATCCTACATCCAATCTTGAAACCATCTTAAATCATCTTCTTTCAAAAGGGAAAATTCAGTCAACAATTCATTGTACAGGCTCACACCTGTAATCCTAGCTACTCAGGAGGCTGAGATCTAAGGATAAAGGTTTAAAGCCAGCCCAGGCAGGAAAGACCATGAGACTTTTTTTTTTTGGTCCTGGGCTTGAACTCTGGGCCTGGGCGCTGTCTCTCAGCTCTTCAGCTCAAGACTAGAGCTCTACTGCTTGAGCCACAGTGCCACTTCCAGTTTTCTGAGTGGTTTATTAGAGATAAGAGTCTCATGGACTTCCCTGCCTAGGCTGGCTTTGAACCATGATCCTCATATCTCAGCCTCCTGAGTAGCTAGGATTACAGGCATGAGCCATTAGCACCTTGCCATGAGACTCTTTTTTTTTTTTCAGGCAGGAAAAGAAGTTTATTTACAGGACTGCTGCCCTTTCCATGCATGGTGGAGAGGCAACCCTGAAAAGGTCACCATGAGACTTTTATCTCCAATAAAAACCACTAGAAAACCAGAAGTGGCACTGTGGCTCAAGTGGTAGAGCACTGGCCTTGAGCTGAAGAGTGCAAGGTCAGCTCCAAAGCCCAGAGTATAAGCCCCATGACTGACAAAAAAATAAAATAAAATGAAAAATTTTAAAGAGGGGCTGGGAAGGTAGCTCAGTGGTAGAGCACTTGCCTTGCATGCCTGAGGCCCTGGGTTTGATTCCTCAGCACCACATAAGCAAAAAAAAAAAAAGTGGCACTGTGGCTCAAGTGGTAGAGCGCTAGCCTTGAGCTGAAGAGCTGAGAGGGACAGCGCCCAGGCCCAAAGTTCAGGCCCCACGACCGGACCCCCCCAAAAAAAATTTTTTTAAGTCACATAAAATCATTAACTTGTAAGGTTTGCAAACTGCAAGAGGGGAACTCAAGTCTTGTTTATTTTTTTGTCAGTCGTGGGGATTGAAGTCTAGGCCTGGCACAGTCCCTCAGCTCAAGGTGAGTTCTCTACCACCTGAGCCACACCACTTGCAATTTTCAGGTGGTTAATTGGAGATAAGAGTCTCATGGACTTTCCTTCCCCAGGCTGGCTTTGTACCGTGATCCTCAGATCTCAGCCTCCTGAGTAGCTAGGATTACAGGCGTGAGCCACTGGCACCTAGCGGAACTCAAGTTTATACAATGGAAAAACTAGTAGCGATGGAAAAACTAGTAGAGACAGAAAAACTGTTGTCTACTAAAATAAAACAGTAAATATAAACTGAAAAGACTGTGGCACACCCCGCTTTTCTGTAAAGAAACCCTATAAGGTAACTGGGCACTCATACTTGTAATCCTAGCTACTCAGGAGACTGAGATCTGCAGGTTGCAGTTCAACGCCAACCCAAACAGACAGATCTGTAAGACTCTGATCTCCAATTAGCTAATTAACCACCAAAAAGCTCCAAGTGGAATTGTGGCAGGTGGCAGAGTGTCAGGTTAGAATGAAAAAGCTAAGCAAACGCACGATACCCTGAGTGCAAGCCCCATTGACAGCACCAAAAACAAACCCCACAGCTACAAAAAAAACAAACAAACAAAACCCAATCCCCAAATGTGGCCACCAACCTTTCAAAAGTATCCAAGAGTTTTGGATTGTTGATCTTCTTTATCTTTTCAATCTTGAAATTTTTCATAGAAGTCTTAAACTGTTCACTAATTGTTGCATATTCCTGACAGTAACTATTCAGCTCCAACAACTAGAAAAGATATGAAGCATGTAAATGTGAAGCAGGAAACACAAAAAGCATGCCACATACACATGTATGCTTTACCCTCAATCCATGAGGATCATTGCCAGGCTTGGGTAAGACAGTCTGCCTTCAGGTCCTGGGGCCTCTTCACACTTAGGCCTCAGGGCAAAAGGACACCTTCATGGGCAGCTAGAGACTTGGCAAGTTATTTGCCTAAAGCTCCAAAACTAGCACATTGACACAGGAACTAGTGGTAATCACAGATCCCCGCAGATCTCTGTACAACAGCTGAAGCAAGATGGTCTAGGCATAGTCTTGCCACAACCAGGCTAGGTAAGAAACAGTTACTTCTGAGTTGCAGTTTTCTCATCTGTAAAATGGAAGTATTGCAGGCCACTAGTAGCTCATGCCTGTAATGCTAGCAACTCAGGAGGCTGAGATCTGAGGATCACAGTTCAAAGCCAGCCACGGCAGAAAAGTCAGTGAGAGTCTTTTCTCCAATGAACCATTCAAGAACCAGAAGTGGTCCTGTGGCTCAAAGTAGTAGAATGCTAGTCTTGAGTGAAAGAGCTTAGGGATAGTACCCAGACCCTGAGTTCAAGCTCCACCACTGACAAAAAAAAGCTGAAGTGGAGCTGTGGCTCAAGTGGTAGAGCACCAGCCTTGAGCAAAAAAGGCAAGCAAGAATTCAAGCACTAGTACGAGCACAAAACAATAAAACAAAACAAAACAAAAAACAAATGAAAACTTGGATTTTGTTGGTGGTGGTGGTGTTTGTTTCCGCTTTGGATTTTTTTTTTCTTCTGGAGGAATAAAGGGAGTGAAAGGGAGGAAGGGAGGATGAACAAATGCAATCATGCTATTCAGTATACACTGTGTGTGGAAAATGACCTGTGTAACTTTGGGCAGAGATGGGAAGGGGAAACGGGAAAAGTGACTGAAGAAGTGACATTATCCAAAAAAAGAAATGTACTCATTATCTAAGAAATGGTAACACTTCTGTACAACACATTAACAAGACCAATAAAATTATTACCAAAAAACAAAAACCCTACACACACATTCACATACACAAAAACAGGTATTATGCTCTACCTCATAGGATTGTGGTGAGGATTTGTGTGGATGAGAACATGTGGCTAACTCCCCTCCCCGCCAAACCATGGCATGCCAAGGCCAGCTGTTGAGTCACATGTCAGGTCTGCCTTTGAATGTGGATCTCAGTAATTTACAGAGCACCTTCATTCATTCAAACAGACAAGCATACAGGAATCACAAAATCCTTCCTCAACTCTAAAGGATTCCCCCACGAAGCAAAGAAAACCCACATACCTCATAGGTACTGGCAGGGAGGGAGTCAGCCACTGTCTGAAGATGAAATTCCGAAGTTAAAGCTTCTGACCTGCTCCCCAGAGGCTGATGGCTACAAATAAAGGAGAGAGAATTCACTTGGGTCCCATTCCATCAGCCCAAATGATGCTCTCACCTAACTCCAGCCACGAAGCCAAAGTTTCCTGGAGAAAAGCATGAATTGCTGTATTTCATTCTGGATTAAACATCATCCGTGCACATCCTGGGGGAGCAGGACCAATAATCAAGGCTGGTTTTCCTTTTCTGTTGTTTGTTGTTTTTGTGTGTGTGTGCCAGGACTAGAGCTTGAGCTCAGGGCCTTGTGTGCTCTCAGTTGGCTTTTTCACTCAAGGCTGGCACATTACCACTTGAGCCACACTTCCACTTCTGGCGTTTCACTGGTTAATTGGATAGAAGAGAATGAGAATCCCCTGGACTTTTCTGCCTGAACTGGCGTAGAATCACAACCTTCACCTCGCAGTCTCCTGAGTAACTAGGATTACAGGTGTGAGCTATCAGTGTCGGGCAGGGTTTGTTTTTTCTTAATGACAGACATTCAAGTTGAGGAGTCCAGAACCTCCCCTTTTCCTGTGATTTCAGGGTACCAGACATAAGGAAAAATTCTTTAGAAGAATCAAAGCCAAGGAAACAGAATTTAAAACAAAACAAAACTTGTCATTTTGCAACACATAATGACAAACTGGACCTAGCCTGTGACTATCAAGGGCTACTAAGTTAATAGCATTAATGACAGACGAGATGAGGAATTCTATAATGGAAGGATCAGACGGCAGTGACTTAATCTGCTTCACTAAAAATAGGACAATGGGATGTTAAGCATGTCCTTACTAAGAGGTGACAGGAAGTACAAAACATCCCCTGTAGCAGATTCTTGACCAAAAACTGGACCTGAATCTAATCAACCCCCTCAATCTAATCATCAATTGACAGAAATTACCCATCAAGTGACCTCATCAGAATACAGTTTAGTAAATTTTGAATTCAAATTATCCAGCTTCTTAAAGACAAACTGCATGAAAAAAGCAGAGGAGGGAAACTGCATAGAATAAAAGAAGCTTAAGAGACCAATCAACCAAATGTAATGAACAGATCATGTCTGGATACCAATGGGAATAAATCAGTACAAAAAGGTCATTTAGAAGACAATGGGAAAGCAGAGAACATGACTTGAACTAGATATTAAGCAATTATTGTCTGATTTGTTAAGTGAGTTATTCTATAATAGTATTGTACATCTGTTAGAGACATACCTGACATATCTACAGAGAAATGAGTCTTTGTGGGATTTACAAAAAAAATATTCCAAATGGGATTCAGACAGAAAAAGAAGTCAAACTATCCCTACTTGTGGAATACATCATCTTGTATCTAACAGACATGAGACTCCATCTCCAAGCTCTTAGAGCTGATCAATAACTTTGGCAAAGTAGTAGGATATAAAAATCAACCCACAAAAATCAGCAGCGTTTCTGTACATCAACCATGTACAGGCAGCGAAGGAAATCAGAAAAACAATGCCATTTGCAACAGCCTCAAAAAATATTTAGGAATAAATCTAACTAAGGAAGCCAAAGATCTTTATCCTGAAAACTAAAAATCTGAAGAAAGAATTGAAGATGATATCAGGAAATGGAAAGACCTTCCATGTTCATGGATAGGTGGAATTAATATTATGAAAATGGCCATACTACCAAAGGCAATGTACAAATTTAACACAATCCCCATCAAAATCCCAATGACATTCTTCAACGAGACAGAGAAAACAATCCAAAAATTGATATGGAACAACAAAAGACCTCAAATAGCTGAAGCAATTCTAGGCAAAAAACAGCAATGCTGGTAGCATTACAATCCCAGACCTCAAGCTCTACTACAGAGCTGTAATAACAAAAATAGCTTGGTACTGCACAAAAACAGGCCCAAAGATCAACAGAACAGACCAGAAGATCCAGAAATAAAGCTATATACCTCCGGTTATTTATTATATTTGGCAGGGGAGACAAGATACACTGTGGAAAAAAGATAGCCTCTTCAGTAATTGCTATTGGAAAAACTGGACTTTCATATGTCAAAATTAAGATTAGATGGATACCTGTTGGATAAAACTGGATACTGTTGTACCAGTATCAGCTCAGAGTGGATCAAAAACCTCAATGTCAGACCTGAAACTCTGAAACTACTGCAAGAGGGAGTAGGAGAAAGATTAGAATTAATAGGCATAGGTACAAAAATTTTTTAAAGAGTCCTGGAGCAAAGCAAATAGGAGAGAGAGTGGACAAATGGGATGACATCAAAATAGTTTTTGCATAGCAAAGGACCTAGTTACTAAACTAGAAAGATAGCCAACAGACTAGGAAAAGATCTTTACTTGCAATACATCAGACAAAGGCCTAATATCCAAAATATACAAGGAATTCAAGAAATTAAACCCTCTCCTCCCCCAAAAAACTAATAAACCAAACAATAAATGGCCAAAGGAGTTTAAAAGAGACTTCTCAGAAGACTGCAAATAGACACATGAGGAATGCTCATCATCCCTGGCCATAAAGGAAATGCAAATCAAAACAACTCTGAGGTTCCATCTCACCCCAGATGGATTAGCCAACACCAAGAATTTGCACAAATGTTGGCAGAGATGTGGGAAAGAAGAATCCTATTGCACTGTTGGTGGGAATGCAAACCATTCTGGACAGCGGTCTGGAGATTCCTAAAAAAAAACTAAACATAGACCTTCCCTATGACCCAGGCCTACTACTGGGCATCTACCCAGACATCACAAGTCAGGATACAATACAGTCACTGGCACATCCATGTTCACTGCTGCACTATTCATAATAGCCAAGTTATGGAAACAGCCCAGATGCCCTAGATTTGATGAGTAGATCAATAAAATGTAGTATATACACACAATTGCATTTTACTCATCCATTAGAAAGAGACTGCCATTTGAAGGAATAGGGCTAGACCTAGAACAAACCATGTTAAGTGAGGTAAGCCAAGCTCAGAGAGACAAACAGCACAGGTTTCTCTCTTATGTGTAAATTAGAGCTAAAATATAACTGGACATGATGGCCTACATAGCACTCTAAAGTGGAGGAACCCAAATGTGTAACTGCTCGAACATTTAAAATACTATTGTATTAAAACTAATGTCAAGAAATAGAAACATGGCTATTTGTTGGTGGTGATGCTGTTTATTTATTTATTTATTTTATTTTTGGGAAGGGAAGGGTGAACTAATGCAGTCATGCTATTCAGTATACACTATGTGGGAAAGGAACAAGGTAACTTATGGGCAAGGATGGAAGGGAGAAGTTGAGGGAAAGTAAAGGAAGGGGTGACATTGTTCGAAGAAATTCTAATTACCTGACATAAAATGTTAACCCTTTTAATCAATACTTTAACTATAAAATTATATTAAAAAAAAAACAACTCCAGTGAGGATGAGCACCCATGGTTCATGCCTGTAACCCCAGCTACTTAGAAGCCTGAGACCTGAAGGTTGAGATTTGAAGCCAGCTCAAGCAGAAAAATCGAGACTCCATCTCCAATTGGTCAATAAAATGGAGGCATGGCTCAAGTGGTAAAGCACAAGCCATGAGTAAAAAAGCAGAGTAAAAGACCCTGAGTTTAAGCCCTGATAATGGTACAAAAAAAAAAAAAGGGCTGGGAAGGTGGCTCAGTGGTAGAGTGCTTGCCTTGCATGCATGAGGCCCTGGGTTGGATTCCTCAGCACCACATAAGCAGAAAAGGCCAGAAGTGGTGCTGTGGCTCAAGAGGTAGAGTGCTAGCCTTGAGCTGAAGAGCTGAGGGACAGCACCCAGACCCAGAGTTCAGGACCCATGACCACCAAAAAAAAAAGGGGGGGTAGGAGAGGGAGGCAGGGAGGGCAGGAGAAAATATTCCAGTGAAATAAAAAATTATAAATTATAAAAGTGGATGAAACAAGAAGGTAAAAAAAACTAGCACTGAAGAAACGTGTTGGGTACACAGCAGTTTATTATACAATTCTCTACACTGGTTGATATTTAAAATTTGACAACATCACAGCAATTCTTTTTATGTTAAGGTGATTACAGAGGGGTTACAGTTACATAAGATAATAAGTACATTTCTTGTCAAACTTGTTAGCCCCTTCGCTTTTTTTGGGGGGGGGTCCCAGTTGTGGGGCTTGAACTCTGGGCCTGGCCGCTGTTCCTCAGCTCTTCAGCTCAAGGCTAGTGCTCTACCACTTGAGCCACAGCGCGACTTCCGGTCTTCTTAGTGGTTCATTGGAGATAAAGAGTCTCGTGGACTTTCCTGCCTGGGCTGGCTTTTAAATGTGATCCTCAGGTCTCAGCCTCCTGAGTAGCTAGGATTACAGGTGTGAGCCAGTGGTGACCGGCCCCTTCCCTCATTTTTCTCCTAAATTCCCTCCCCCACCCTATTACCTTTTTTTGTGGATTTTTGGCAGTATAGGAGTTTAAATACAGGGCTGTACCTATTAGCCAAGCCAATCTGTCTTTTTCTCTATTTTTCAGGTGTGGTCTAAAGCGTCTGCCTATAACACTTAAAAAACAAATGCATTAAGGAAAATAGTCTGTTTTCCCTTTCCTTTGGAGGTGCTGTGGCTTGAACTCGGGGCCTTGTGCTTGGCAGGCAGGCAGGCCTACCGAGCCACTGCTCAGCCCTTTCTCCAGGGGTTATTTATGAGGGAGTGTTTGGTTTTTACCCTGGCTGGCTTGAGTTGTCATCTTCCTCCTTGTGCTTCCCCAGGTCATTGTGGACCGCAGGCATTTAACACAGCATACAGCCATTAGCTGAGTCTCCCCAACTTTCTTTGTCCATTGTGGGGCTTGAACTCTGGGCCTAGGCACTGTCCCTGAGCTCTTTCAGCTCAAGCGAGCTGGAGCCCACTTGATCCACAGCACCACTTCCGGTTTCCTCTCCTACTCTCCACAGGCCTCTCCACTCTCCACGGGCCTCTCCACCTCTCGCAGGCCTTTTGGATCTTCACAGGCCTCTCGGCCTCTCAGTGAGCTTCTCCGCCGGCCTCTGGGCCCAGCATAGGCCTCCTTGGCCCTGCACCTCCTCCTCTTGGCCCTGTGTGGGCGTCCTCAGGCCTATCCGCCGGCCTGGGCCTCTGTTCCGGCCCGGGTCTCCTTGGACCTCTCCGCAGGCCTGAGGAGAGCCTGGGCACTGATCTGCTCCAGGGACGGCATCCCTCTCTCCCTTCTCCCCCTCTTGGGAACCCCCTTCTCCCTATATCCGGTGGCCCACCCCCACCAAGCTGCCCTTTGACGCTCTGCGGCCTGGTGTGATTGGCAGCTGGGGGGAAGGGCTGATTCTCACATAATCATACTTCAGTCATCTGGGGAGGGGGAGAAATCCCACTCCAAAAATGTTCATAAGCAATGTAGTCTTTTTTGTTGTTTTTTTTTTTGGTCATGGACCTGGGTGCTTCGTGGTAGAGTGCTTGCCTAGCATGGATGAAGACCTGGGTTTGATTCCTCAGTACCACATAAAGAGAAAAAGCCAGAAGTGGTGCTGTGGCTCAAGTGGTAGAGTGCCAGCCTTGGCACAGAGAAGCTCAGGGACAGTGCCCAGGCTCTGAGTTCAAGCCCCAGGACTAAAAAAATAAAACACAAAAACAAAAAGGAAAAATTACCGTGGAATGTAAGCAGCTTTCCAAGAACACAGGATGAGCTAGATGCCAGAGGCACTTGATGAGGAGGCTGAGAACATTGCACACATCTGCAGGTGTTCTAACAGCACTTCAGAACACTTACACTGCTCTTGCTTTGATCTGCTCCACATCCCGCGAAGAAACAAACACCGGCCTTCGGATGACATCCTTCTGCGTCTTGGAAGCAATGTTTGTCTGAATCATCCCTTAAGAAACAAAAGCCAAAAACTAGCCTTAAAAAAATAAAAACGGGGCTGGGAATGTGGCTTAGAGGGAGAGTGCTAGCCTAGCATGCATGAAGCCCTGGGTTTGATTCCTCAGTACTGCATAAACAGAAAAAGCCAGAAGTGGTGCTGTGGCTCAAGTGGTAGAGTGCTAGCCTTGAGCCAGAGAAGCTCAGGAACAGTGCCCAGGCCCTGAGTTCAAGCCCCAGGACCAGACAGACAGACAGACAGACGACAGACCAGACAGACAGACCAGACAGACAGACCAGACAGACAGACAGACAGACAGACAGACAGACAGACAGACCAGACAGACAGACAGACAGCTCCTTTTTCAGAAGCTATTTGCACAATTGCACACCAGGACTGCTGCTCACACCTGTAATCCTCCCTAATCAGGAGGCAGAGATCTGAGGATCATGATTCAAAGCCAACCTGGGCAGGAAAGTAAGTCCATGAGACTCATCTTCAATTAACCACCAGAAAACTGGAAGTGGTGCTGTAGCTTAAGTGGTAAAACATTTGCCTTGAGCTGAAGAGATGAGGGACAGCACTCAGGCCAAGTTGAAGCCCCATGACCAATTAAAAAAAGAAAAAATTAGATCCTGAGTTGCCCTAATTAAAAGATTCTGCTATCAAGTGGTGAAAGTACATTTAGAAATTAACCAAATCTGTACACGGAAGTCAGAGAAAGAGGAGAACTAAGGCACTCAGATAACAAACAGCAACTACTTAAACTGCTTTGAAGCAGACAGAAGTGATCATGGGTTGGAACTGGTAGCCTTCTTGAAGATTAAAAAAAAATGAAACAAAAACAAACAAAGTTTGGCACTGGTGGCTCATGCCTGTAATCCCAGTACTCAGGAGGCTAAGATCTGAGGATCGTGGTTCAAAGCCAGCCCAGGCAAGAAAGGCGGTGAGACTTATTGTTTTTGTTTTTGGTTTTTTTTTGGGTCCTGTCATGGGGCCTGAACTCTGGGCCTGGGCACTGTCCCTCAGCTCTTCAGCTCCAGGCTAGCGCTCTACCACTTGAGCCATAGCACCACTTCGGGCTTTTTTTTTTTCTGATGCTTATGTGGTGCTGAGGAATGGAACCCAGGGCCTCATGCATGCAAGGTAAGCGTTCTACCACTGACCTACCTTCCCAGCCCTCGTGAGACTCATCCCCAATAAACCACTCAGAAAACCAGAGGTGGCGCTGTGGCTAAAGTGGTAGAGCACTAACTTTGAGCTGAAGAACTGAGGGACAGCGCCCAGGCCAAGAGTTCAAGCCCCATAACCGACAAACAACAAAAATCCACCTAAGGCGGGCGCCAGTGGCTCACGCCTGTAATCCTAGCTACTCAGGAGGATAAGACCTGTGAATCTCGGTTCAAAGCCAGTCCGGGCAGGAAAGACCGTGAGACTCCTATCTCCAATAAACCACTAGAAAACCAGAAGTGGCGCTGTAGCTCAAGTGGTAGAGAGCTCGCCTTGAGCTGAAGAGCTGAGGGACAGTGCCCAGGCCCAGAGTTCAAGCCCCACGAAGGACCAAAAAAAAAAAAAAATCCACCTAAGCTAGGTAGTAGTGGTTCATGCCTATGATCCTAGCTACTCAGGAAGTAGAGATCTGAGGACTGTGGTTCAAAGCCAGTTATGGCAGGAAAGTCCATGAGACTCTATCTCCAATTAACCAGCAAAAAGTCAGAAGTACAGCTGTGGCTCAAGTGGTAAAGTGTCAGCACGGAGCAGATAAATCTCAGGGACAGCACTCAGGTCCTAGTTTGTGCTTGCATGCTCGTGCAGATGCACACCCACACACCCACACAAAACCTTTACCCTGGTGTGGCCATGACCCTGAGCGAGGCTATGTTTCTCAAGTGTTCCCTCTCTCACTGGTGCAAGATGTTCTGGTTTCCAAGGACATATAACTCACCTTGGAAACTCAGCTCGAAGTTCCTCGAACCCTCCTGAAATGGCACAACTCCTCTGGGACAGGACAGATAAAAGGACTCCAGGTAGGAAGAGTCGATGTCTGAACTGGGTTGGTTGTCATACTAGTTCAATTAAACAGAAAGAAAAAAAGATGAAGACTTCAGGATTGGCGTCTAGGCAATCTCTACTGTGCTAGTTTGTAGTTTTATTGCAGCCGAAGGATTTGAACAGGAGTGTGTTTCACTTCCCAAGCCAGGCTGTGAGGGGCTTCCCAGAGGGAGCACATGCACCTATTTTTATTAGTGAAGGTGTATAGGTTCCCCACTCAGAACTCTGAGACCTGAGTTCAAGTCCTAGGACACACACACACACACACACACACACACACATCACTGGGCACCAGTGACTTGTGCCTGTGCCTGTAATCCTAGCTACTCAGGAGGCTGAGATCTGAGGATCACAGTTCAAAGCCAGCCAGGCCAGGAAAGTCTGTGAGACTCTTATCTCTAATTAACCACCAGAAAACCAGAAGTGGCGCTGTGGCTCAAGTGGTAGAGTGCTAGCCTTGAGCTGAAGAGCTGAGAGATAGTGCCCAGGCCTAGAGTTCAAGTCCCACAACCAACCAATAAAAAAAAGAAACAGTATCCGAACTGGTCATCAGTGGCTCGTGCCTGTAATCCTAGCTACTCAGGAGGCTGAGATCTGAATGAAAACACTATGAGACAGTTCCTCGGCCTGAGTTCAAACACCAGTACCAGCATGCACACACATACGCACACACAAAGGCAAGTCATCCATTTGTTTCCCAGGCCTACTGGCATAGATGGGAAGAGACAAATATGTGCTTTCCTCCATGCGCACTTCCCACGGGGAGGCATACTGACTCCAAATATTTCGTTAGTAGTTGCTTGGGATTTTAATGTTGGCACGTGTACGTAAGGGCCTTTTTCAGCAGGACTGGCACTCACCTCTGCTCCGTATTGAATCCATTTACCAGATTTGTGCTTCCAATACCAAAGCCATTTGGTGGTGAAGACAGCATTGGCCAGCTCTGGGACGGCAGCGGAAGGGGTGGAGAGGCGTCGGATGGGATGAAAATCACAAATCATCTTCTTGAAATCGATTTCACGGCTCCCTACTGAAATTCTGAGAAGGAAGAAGAGGTAATGAAAGGTTCCCTGGGCCCTGCAGGACCCACTTTTTTTTTT